TCAGGAAAAGGGGTTCGTCGAGACACCAGCGCCATGAGCACCCACGGGTGTCTCCTGCAGACCGTGCGAGAACCACGTGGTAGGCGATCTGCCTCACGCTGCTCTGCTCCTCCGGACAGGCCTCAGCCGGGGCCGGGCCTGCCTTTCTCAGGGCAAAGACACGCGGTTTCCGGAGCCCCCTGCGGTCACCCTCAGAGCCGGACGGGGCCTCCCCCTTGGGGCGGGCGTCTCAGCGGCCCACACGCGTGCCACGCCGGGTCACCTGCCACCTTCCCAGAGCCGTGGCAGTCAGCACGGTGGGCGGCGAGGGGGGCGGACCAGTTCACCTGAGGTCCGAAGCCGAGGTGAGCGGGCGCCGCCGGTGACACGCCGGTGACACGTCAGGCAGGGAATTCTGAGAACGCGCCCCCGGGCATGCAGGGCGTCGCTCTGACAAAGATCTAATGCAGAACTGCTTTATCTTTTCATCGAAGTCGAGAACAAACATTTTGGTCCAGAAACTATAAAGCATTTACAGTGCGCCACGCAGCCACACGCAGCCACGCTGGGGGTCGCGCCCGGTCTGCTCCTGGCGCGGAACCCAAACGTGGAATCGCACCCGTGGGCGCGGCCGTGGGACACTCACCAGGACGGGCGCGCCGGCCGGCGGGGGGCTGCCCGGGCCTCTGGCCCCGGGGCTGTCTCTCCTGCAGGCGTCTTCGACCATCTGGGGGACGCTCGGGCACGAACCCGCCTCTTGTGAGCAGCTGCTGTCCCCTGGCAGCTTAACTGCAGGCCCCTCCTCGGCCCGAAGTTCTTCGGAGGCTTCTCGCAGCATCGCTAACCTGCCGCGGGACAAAACAGGACGCGCCGGCTTGGGCAGCGGCGTGAGCTCCCGCCTGGCACGGACGGGCGCCCAGGCGGCGGCGACCTGGTCTAACGAGATAAAATGCTCACGGAGGCCGAAATCGCCACACCCTCTAGCAATCTGCGGCAAGCCCAGAATTTGGCCCTGAAGATAAATCATGAGCTCGGACTTGTCCCCTGGGCGCCAAGAGCAGCGTCTGGCGCTTGCAGCGCGCTCGCTTATCCACACGCGGTCCCACGCGGCGGGGAGCGCGGTTTCCACCCTGAGGGGATCAGACACACA